TTTGAGCGTCACACTTTTTGACCAATCAGGTATGGTGCTGGGCCAGTGCCACTGGCTTTTGCGATGGGGATTGTTATGCCTTCGTCGTGTCGTGACTTCCTTCTTGTGTCTATATTTGCACATACCTTATATAATGAATACTGAGATACATTTGCCCATTGTGTAACAGGATATTTCAGATGGTTCCGTGAGAAGGCAAGAAATGAGCCCTGAAGTACAAATAAAACAATATATATATTCCAATACATTTTTCTCTGGGGCAAGGTGATGCTCCGCAACGACGTTTGTTACGTGTAGCATAATGTCGGGAATAATATGATATCACGCTGAAACCTCTAAGTTTTACATATCACTAGAATCACAGGTGAACACTGGTGAGAAATAAACTATACATTTTTACACACAAGACATGATTTGCTGAAAAGGTTCTCAGTTAACTGCACATAAGGAACAGCAACTTTTCAAAGAGACCGTCCTACAGACAAGGTCACTTCAGCACCAATACGTGACTCCCGTACAAAATGTTTCTGTACCATTTCAGATGAACACTAGCTAATGCTGTAACAAATAATTACAGCCTTTTTGGTGGGAAAGTCTATGAGCAAAGTGTTATCTCCCCCTGTTCAATGTAAGTTTATGATTCGCCTCGGTGGTCTAGTCGCTAAGGCTCTCAGCTGCTGATTCATAGGTCACGGAACCGAATCCGTCAGCCTCACACATGCTTGCCTCAACAAAAATGTGGCCACGGCGGCCGCACTGTCGATGGAGGTGAGAATCCATGAGGCCCGTGCGCATAAATCTGTGTTCACGTAGATAGAGCGATGGTGCAGTGCTCAGAGTATCAGCCTCACGTGCAAGACGTCTGTGGTTCGGATCCCGGTGCCGTGCAGTTCTTCACCAGATTAAAAAATTTTCTGCGTGATGATTCAATAGGAGGATGATTCAATACAATAGGAGACCTGGACCTCACCAGTGATCACCTGTAGTAACCTGTTCCCGCACCAGAGAAGGACTAACCACCCTGGTGCTGGATCTAGCCACTACTGTCCACATGCATATTCCATTATCACATGACCTTCAGTCCCAAGCGGCTGCTAAGCAGCTGACCACGGCTGCGGTCAGATCTGCAATGCAACAGAAGGCACTAAGAATCTCTTGGTTCGGAAAGGCCACCATTTGAACCTGCACTTGGCAACGTTCACCGCTAGAACCATATCTATTGAGGCGAGTCTAGCTATACTACTCGAGGAGCTAGTGGATAAAAATGGAATGCAATAGGGCTCAGTGAGATAAGGAGGGCAGATGAGGCTCATGCAGTGCTACGGAATAGGCACGCTGCTATCATGGCTTGGCTTACAGAAGAGCACTCAGCATGGCTTTCTCATCCACAGAGATATAGCAGTTAACATGGAGGATTACCATAGGGTTAATAAAAGGACGGTATGTATCGTAATTAGCCTCAATAAGACGTACAAGATGAAGGTGATAGAGGCTCACGCGGCTACATTCAGCCACGATTGCACAATAGTCGAAAGCTTTTATGAGACATGAAATAAGCAATGAGTAAGGCAAAAACACAGTATACTTTACTGATGGGCGACTTCATTGTAGAGGAAGGAAAGAAGCAGGCAGGAGACTCACAGTAGAAGATTATGGCATCGGTACTATAAAACTAAGAGGGGAGTTGTTAGTAGAATCCACAGAGCACAATAATTTACAGATCTTCTATACGTTCTATAGAAAACGCGAGAATCGTAGGTAAACATAGAGGAGCCTCAATGGTGAAAGTAAGAACGAAGTATACATTACTCTGAATGCACACTCAAGCCTTGTGCAGGATGTGGAAGTGCTTGAAAATGTACGATGCAGTGACCATAAAACAGTAGGGTTCTGAATTCACCGAAATTTGAAGAAGGAACGACATAAACTTATGCGCAAGAAGCTAATCAATGAGAAAGCACTTAGAAGTAAAGTACAAGGATTCAGAGCCTCGCTTTAGAATAGATATTCAGTTTTTATTGCTCGAACCAGTCAGCGTTGACGTAATGAATCTGACGAGCACCATTACGAAGTGTGCAGCGGAAGATGGAGGTACGCTAGTTGGACAGCACACTCGCAAGCTGTCCCAGGAGACGAAGAATCTCATCAAAAAGCATCAAAGCATGAAAGCCTAAAACACAACAGACAAAATAGAACATGCAGAGCTTTCGAAGTTGTTTATTATCCGATGCAATAAGTTCTCACTTGGAGAGAATTGAACACGCTCTAAAGGAGAGAGAAAGCGTCAAAGCGGTTCAGAGGAAACATGAGATGAGCAAAAACCCAATGTGTGCAATAAGGGACAAATAAGCCAAAGTTACTACCAATGTGGAAAGGATAGTTCAAATAGCAGAGCAGTTTTACAGTAGCCGGCACAATCCCGACCATAACGTAAGAGCTAGCAGTATCACAGATGACAGTCCTGCAGTAATGACTGAAGAAGTCAGAAAAGATTCGGAGGGGATGCAGAGAGGCAAAGCTGCTGTTGAAGATCAGGTAACATCAGATCTGCAGAAGCACGAATGACAGATTGTGTTAGAAAAACTAGCCACTCTGTTACGAAGTGTCTCCTCGCGGGGAGGGTACCGAAATTTTGGAAGAATGCTAACGTCATCTAAATACATAAGAAAAAAGGATGACAGCGACTTGAAGAAGTACAGGGTGATCAGTTGGCTCTCCGTCGTATACAGGCTATTTACAAAGGTAATTGTTAACAAATTTAGGACAACACTGGAATTCAATCGACCAAAGAAACAAGCAGAATTTTGAACAAGCTACTTAAAAATCAATAATTGATAACATTCCCACTATCAACCAGATAATAGAGAAGCACTCAGAATACAGCCAACCGCTTTACAAAGCCTTCAAAGATTAAGAGAAGGCGTTTGACTCAGTAGAAATATGAGCAGTCATGCAGACACTGCTGAATCAGGGCGTCGACGAAGCATATATTAACATCCTTGAAGAAATCTACAGGGAATAAACTGCTACCATAGTGCTTCGTTAAGAAAGCAACAAAATACCAATAAAAAATGGTGTAAGGCAGTGGAATAGAATTTCCCCATTTCAATTTACAGCAAATTTAAAGGAGGTTTTTGGAGGCCTAGAATGGGAACAGCTAGACATAAGTGTTAATGGAGAGTACCTTAGTAGCCTACGCTTCGCCGATGACACTGCATTGATGAGTAACTCAGGGGAGGAATTTCAATTCATGATTGCGTAGTTAGACAAAGGGAGCAGAAAAGTATGTCTTAAAATTAATTTGCAGAAAACGAAAGTAATGTAAAATAACCTCAGAATAGAACAGTGCTGTCAGATAGGTAAAAGTGCACCTGGTGTTTAAAAGACTACGCCTACTTAGGACAGGTAATAAACGCGAAGCCGAGCAACGAGATTGAAGTAACTAAAAAAATGAAAATGAGATGGGGCACATTCGGCAAGTACTCTCAAATCATGACTGGTGGATTGCGCCTATCCCTCAAAAGGAATGCATAGAACAGCCGGATCCTGCCGGTACTTAGCCCTGCCGCGGTAGTCTAGAGGATAAGGAACTCGGCTGCTGACCCGCACGCAGGTCGTGGGATCGAATCCCGGCTTCGGCGAGTGCATTTCTGATGACGGCGGTAGTGTTGTAGGCCCGTGTGCGCTGATTTAGGTGCATGTCAAAGAACCCTAGGTGGTCGAAATTCCCGCAGCCCTCCAGTACAGCCCCCAAATTGTCGAAATTTCCGGAGCCCTCCACTCCAGCGTCTCTCATAATTATAAGGTGGTTTTGAACATTAAACCCCATATATTATTCAATCAATCCAGTACGCGTCTCTCATCATCATAAGTAGGTTTTTGGACGTTGAACCCCTATTATCAATCAATCAATTTTCCGGTACTTACCTATGTCGCAGAAACCTGTGCCTTACTAAGAGGGCCCAGCTTAAAATAAGAACGACGCAGCGAGCGATGTAAAGTAAAATGATAGATGTGACCTCAAGCGACAAGAAGAGGGCAGAGTGGATCAGAGAACAAACCGGGGTTAAGGATATGATAGTTGAAATCAAGAAGAGAAAATCGACATAGGCCGGGGATGTAGAGCGTAGGAAGAATAACCACTGGTCATTGAGGGTAACTGATTGGATTTCCAGAAAACGCAAGCGGGTAAGGGGGAGACAGAAAGTTAGGTGGGTAGAAGAAAGTAAGAGGTTTTTGGGTATAAAGTGGCAGCAGCAAGCACAAGGCTAAGTTCACTGGCGGAACAGAGCAGAGTATTATATCCTGCAGTAAACCTATCCAGGCTGATGATGATGATGCTGATGATGTTGATAAAGAAAAAACGGCAGGTGGCTGAAATTTACGGGGACATCCCGTACAACCTCTCTCATAATCATAAAATGGCTTTGGGAGGGTAAACCCTGAAAATAATATTATTCTAACCTAGCTTTACAATAGAAAGAGATGAAGAAGGCTGGCAGGTTAACTAATTGTTGATGTGATGTGTGCTGCCACTCATTAGGGAGAAAAAAAGGCTTTGCTATAACGCACATCATCTGAGCACAGCGGTATTTCTCTTTGGAAGCGCGCTGGGCGATTTCTGACAATGTAACTAGATACCATCGGTCCTGCACAGTATGGCAATACAATGGATACATTTTTATGGTACTTCACTTCTGTGATACAAATGAGCTTATGAAATGTATATACAGAAATACAGATACTCCTAGGTATATATAAGATACTGTCACGATGCTTACCCATCCAGGTGTGAACTTGTGTGAGCACTTGTGAGTGTGAACAGACGTAAATGCGAGTAGCTTTAACTTTGGCAACAGGTGAGTATGGCATTGAATGACTGTATGGGAGTATGAACGTGAGTTATTATGTGAAGTACACGTGACTATGTACGGGAGCGAATGCAAGCCGTGAAATAAATTAGGATGAGTATGTGCAGACCCATGTTTTAATCTGTTCAGGGGCTGTATGCTGTGAGCGGGCGCACTGGCACTGTGCTGTGGACGCTGTCGGCAGCGGAGGATGCCGTGGTCGAACGCTCCAACATGTACACGGCGCAACACATCCGCGACGTGGACGACGACGGCACAGCTGATCTGCTGATCGCCCACGGAGGCGACCCACTGCGTGAGCCCGGCGCACCCTCGGACCGCCTGGCAGGCCGCCTGCTGGTCGTCAGTGGGCGCTCGGGCAAGCTACTCAGCTGGGCCATGGTGCCGGATAGCCGGGAGACGTACTACTCTCCGCAGTTGATGCTTTATCCCGACGGCACCGAGCTCGTCTTGTTCGGCACTGGGGGCGAGACTCACGGCGGCTCATTGTGGAGCCTTCCACTGCGCCAGCTTCTTGCCGGCCGAGTTGATGAAGCGCGGGCCCTCTATACAGACCCCAACAAAGGTATCATGACACCGCCCGCGTTGGTCGACGTCACTGGTGATGGTGTCGCAGACGTCGTCATGGCTGCATTCAACTCGACCGTGTTCGCGCTAGATGGCCTCAGCTTGGAGCGACTTTGGTCGCAGCGCTTCGTCCAGTCTGAATCGTACAGCACACCGGCCGTGGGTTACTTCAATGAGGACAGGACACCCGACTTCATGGTCAGCTACCAGACAGGGCCGGGCTTCCCACTGTACGTGTCTAGCCAAACGACTGTTTTGGATGGTCGCACTGGTCGACCACTGCTGCCACTCCCCGTGCACTCCGCACTCGGAGCGCAGGCGTCACCGCTAGCCATCAGCATGCCGGGCGTAGGCCATGACGTCTTCCTCTACTGGCTTTCAGATTGCCATGGCGACCGGAGTTCTGTACGCGAGCACAAGGAATTTGCGCTGGCTGCCGGCACTAGTGTGTTTCTACGCAGCCGAGCAGACTTCTGCCGTCTGCGCTTCGGATCGCGTCTCTACACGCGGCTCTACGCTCTGTGGTCCAACGCCGAGCCACCTGGCGCACTTCTTTACGACTCAGGTGAGCACTACTTGGGAAGAATCAGTGTTAGTTGAACAGGTGGCTTCAGTGTATTATTGCGGTTTGTTCTCAGCTGCGGTGGTCGCATTTTGATGGAACGAAATGATAAAGACCCAGGTGCTGTGCGATGTCTGTGCACGTTAAAAACGCCAGATGGTGAAAAGTTCTGGAGCCTTCCACTACATCGTCTCTTCTATTTATATGGTAAGTTTGGGGTATCATACTCACAAGCCAGATGTTATTGTTATTATTAATAATAATAATATTACTAGTAGTAGTATTGCATTGCTGACTACGACGGTGGCATCAAAATCAGTGAGAAATGAAGAAAATGCTTAGATATGCTTAGGTACATGTCTAGGGTGCGAAAGTTAAACTACTGAGCGTGTGAATGAACGACACTATCAGCCGCAAAGGGGGAAAGGGGTCAGTGGTTCGTTCTTCTCGGGGGTTACCGCCTCACTCACCCAAGGATCAACAATATGTCTTTTCAGAAGTAACAATCAGGGGATGAACTGTTTATTCCTCAGTAGTATTGAGAACAAAATATCAAGGAGTAAAATTTACCCCGGAATGGGAGGAAGTGGCTGTGTAGCGATGAACTTATGGGACTAAAAGTCCGTTCTCTGATTGAATTACCGACTTCTGATTCTATTACCGAGAACTTCAAGGTTGACGAATGCATTTGACTACCTATGAATACACCAGTGAATTATCAAGAAAACTACAGAAAGTTTACGGCAAAGGCACCGGATTCGAACTCACGACCGTTGCGCCAGCAGTCGTGCAAGTAACTACTGTACCACACCCCAGTACATAGCAGAGTGAAAATGACCGGGGCATATGTACACACCGGCTGCACGCTACGCATTTTGCAATGTTGCTCAAACTAGGAAGATTCCTTATATTGGATCTAAGTGTTTCACAAGCAACGATTCGGTGATGACGTTTGTGAAAATGCAAAATGCGTTTGTTTACGTATTTCTGCGCGCGTGCTTTCAGCGCATATGCGTGCTTGATTAGGTCTTGTATACATAACTTTTCTCATATATGTTGCAATCGCTGTGTAAAACTTGCTTGGTTCTAATAGTGCAGAGTGCGGTTGATTACGTGGTTAAGCGAAAATGTCTTTTTTAGTGACAAAGAAGAACAAAACGTTAATAGAAACAACCAAGTGTATTCGGCGACTTGATGTTTCGATTCTGCACCATAGTGCGCGCTGATTGATTCAGCAACTTTTATGAGTAAAAAAGATTGAATGGATTCCTTGAACTTTAGAATAGACTGTAAAAGATGCAACGTTTTATTGGAATGAATGGTGTCTAGCTGACTTGAGGAAGTGCACCCGCACTATCGACAATGGCTGAGAACATGGCCGTAGGTCAGTAGCTTCAAAATGGTGACTCTCCTCTGAAGGTGCAAAGCGCTCAGTCATTGGCTTCCTCAAAACGTAACTGTAAAACCATTCATTATTTCTGACACATCTTTTCTAGCACTTGTAGTTACGTCCCGTCGCGTCAGTTGGAAATGCCACATGCATAAAAATTGAAGAAAAACTGGTTTTTCACAACACCGCCGTACAGCAATCGAACAGTTCAAAATGTGTTATGAAGTTCGAAAAGCCCATTCTCAAGTTTAACACTTCAAGCTTTGACTGCGATACGCTTGGTGGGGTACTTATTTATTCGTGAATGTTGTGCTTCATTTTGGAGTTACAAAAATAAAAGTGCCTAGCATCATTACAAACGAGCTAACTCACTGACGTGGTCTCCGACTGCTTGTGTTAGTGGTGCGAAGCCAAGTAAACATGCAAAGCTAACAGCCAAACTTGCTAAATTACTTGTTTACCTTGCACAAGATGACAATGTGCAGAATTTAGGACAACTTCTTTTCAAAAGCCACGGAAATTTCTCGTGAACAATGATTCTTTTTGCTGCTCTGCAAACAAAACAATTTTTCAACAGTTGTACTCGCTGCAGCTAATGTTGAGCCCTCATCGAGGCTACTACGCTCTGATGGCCGATTCATCACTCTTGGAGCTCTAGAGCAGATGGGGCAGCACTCGCAAAGCGGTGTAGCGCGAGCTCATTGACGATGCAGATTTGGTTCGCGAAGAACGGGTGTGTTAAACAGTCGATAATTCTCACGTATGAACACCACAGAAATAAAATATCGCGGAGAGATGTCAGCCTTCTTTACACTCACCTCTCAGGCAATATTTCAGTCAGAGCACAGCAGTTCGATAGCGCAGCAATTCATTACAGCGGTGGATCACGTTTACTACTGCGGAATAATGATTCAGAGCCCCACAAGAAAGAACGATCATTACACTCAATGATAACACATCCACAACACACTGTTATATCAACGAGAATTAGCTTGCTGAGCATACCACGCCGCGAATTGATAAGGCTGTAGCGTGATCACCTTTTTAGAAGAAGGGGTTTGCACATTTTCTTAATTTGATGCAATAGAAACAATAGTACTTTGTTTCTTGCGTAGTCGCCGTAGTTGTCATGACCATTCACACTAAATTATGCTTTTAACAGCTGATTTTTAGATAACCTTTTACTTGCGCGCATGCTGACCGTTCTTTTGAGACTGCCGCTGTGCCGGAAAGTTACATGGGAGTAAACGTTGCTCCGTGTGGCCTAATCTTTTTTTATTGCGACAAAGACTTGCCTTTAAGGCATACAATTTTAGTTAAATGTGTGCAGTTAGGCCGGTGTTGTGTATGAATTGAAGTAGTGTCTTGTGGAATCTGTTTTCATGTATCCAGTGGTTGTAACTGGCTGTGCGCTGTAGTGAAGGCCGGCTTGAGTGAGGTGACAGGAGCATTCTGGCTTCAACCTTTTACATGTTAAAAGGTGGTATGTATCTGCTTGATTCGCAGCAGTGGGACAATACGTACTTGTATCACCAACTCGTAAATGTGACCAGTTACATGACTATATAACGGCCGGTGTAAGGGCCATCCCTTCCTGGAGCCTCCTAAGCCCAACTTCCTCTACCCTAGTAAGGTGAGGGGAGAGAGAGCAGACACATGGGGGAATGAGAGCACGTGTATCCTGCCGGAGAACTTTTTTACGGGTATGGAGTAAGTTTAGGTGCTGAGGTGGGAGGAGAATGGCTGAAAGGTCTATGTCTGGAGGGTAGTGTGCCTGCTGATTAGCAGCAATGTTGTGTGGTTTCGCAGCATGGCCTTGAATCCAATGTCCTTTTACGCAAGTAGCCGTATTATGGTTCAGCTTATGAATTGCCTTGCAGATCTTCATCGGCTTGTGTACTTTTTTGATCTCTTTGATAGCTCCTAAGGAATCAGTGTTTATATCAATCTGTCTGCTTAATTGTGAGCAGCTTAGAGGTAGCAGCCGAGATTACGTCGTAGATGGCTTGAAGCTCCGTCAGAAGAGGAGTGGCTCCAAAATGTATATATATATATATATATATATATATATATATATATAGTGGAAGTAATAATTCAATGGGCCAGTTAGTCTTCTTGAAGGTATGGGATATGGCACAACGGGAGCGTTGTCAACAAGGATAAATATATTCATTTCCCAACAGTTTCGGGAGGGGTCCTCTTTTCATCATAGGATGAGTTATATATATATATATATATATATATATATATATATATATATATATACATATATATGACGAAATGTTGACGAGACCCCAAGCTTAAAAAGGCTTAAAACTTCCTAAAATGCCCGCTTACCAGCCTCTGCCCCAATACGCGGTACCCCTCTTTTTACGACGAAATGTTGACGGGGCTCCGAGTAGTTAAAGGCTTAGAACTTCCTAAAAAAGCTCTTTTTTGCCCCACACCGAACCGCCAGTGTCAGGAGGCGCCGTCTGGTCGGGAAGAATGCTTTAGTGAAAGGAAGCATACACAGACCACTGACATCAGAAAGGTGAAGGGGAGAAAGGGGAGAGAGATGAAGGGGGAAGTGGAAGGAAGAGTGGAAAGGGGGGGGGGCGCCCGAGGGAAGTCCACCTTATATTCTTTTTCTCTTTCTTCTATTTTCTTTTTTTTCTTTTTTCTTTTTTTATGTCTTTTTCCTCTTTCCTTTCCCTCTGATTTGAGATTGTATAAAGCCGAGCACCAACAAATTGTACCTTTAATCCTGATGAAGGCCAGACTCTAGGCCGAAACGTCGAAATAAACCACGTTATGACCGCTCACGGAGGATATCTGAACTATATATATATATATATATATATATATATATATATATATATATATATATATATATATATATATATATATATATATGAGATCTAACAGACAGTAATACCAAGGAATGTACAGGGGAAGTTATCAGTACCAATGGAATGTGAATAAGAAGAAAGAAAAGTGGATGAAGGGAAGTCCGCTGTGGTAGCTCAGTGGTTAGAGCATCGAACGCGTTATTCGAAGGTCGTAGGTTCGTTTCCTGCTCACGGCTGGTTATTTTTCTTCCTCTTTTCTCTCTTCTTATTTACATTGCATTGGTTCTAATAACTTCCCCTGTACATTCCTTGGCATTACTGTCTGTTAGATCTCATTAATATTGTGTTAAAACCCGGAAAAACGAGCTCTTAGGTATACACTTCTTTCCCTTATATATATATATATATATATATATATATATGTATATATATATATATATATATATATATATATATATATATATATGTATATATATATATATATATATATATATATATATATATATATATATATATATATATATGTATATATATATATATATATATATATATATATTTATATTCAGACGGCTGAAAGAATGGTGTCTTTCCGCCGTCTTGTAGGATAGCAGCATCTGTATATAGTTTGCAGGTATTAGCGCATGGGGCTGCCTTTGTTTGTACACAGCACCCTCACCTTGCAGTTAATCCCTACGTGCACTAACTGTTGGTTGCGGGGAGGAAATGCAGCATTTACTCCTACTTTGTTTCTTTGTGGCTTAGAGTGTGAAATAAGGATTTGACAAGCCACTTCTCGGCTCTTGAGCCTTGCGGAGTTCTGCTGCTTGCTCACATTGCAGATGAAATGCGGTCCGTGGAGTACAGCGGCTTGCTCAACTTCACGGCCATTGGGACCCGCTTCTTGGAGCAGCACCCGGAGTACCACCGCATACGACGCCACGTGGGGCCGCACGATGCGGGCGGTGTGCAGCGTACCATTTCCACAGGTACAACACTCTTACATGTGGGAGGTCAGCTGCTCTGCAGGAGCAAAAGAGTGCGTGCTTTCGCAGGTACTTTGATGCCGGGCTCTGGGCCGCGCAGCATCGACCTGGTGTTTGCGACCTTTTGGTTCCTGCCGACGCGTGTGCGTACCATGTCGGAAGATGAACGTCGCTGCCTGGAGCGAATTCGGATGCACGAGGCAACCCGCTTTCAAGTTGACAGTCCTCTGTATGGGCTCGACCATGATGCCTTCGAGCAGCTAGCAGCAGCAGAGTGTGGTAAAGGCGACGAAAATGACCAGCCTGCGTACGATCCCTTCAACCGCCGCATGGGCCAGCTGACAGTGTACCGCGTACGTCTGCAATGCACTTGTGACCAATGCGCGGGCCCGCTGCCTTTTGGACAGCAAAGGTGGCCTGCGTACATGGGAGTAAGTGCGGACTGCTACTCAAGGAAGCCCTAAAATAATGTATGGATGATAGATCGCTTTACACAACTTACCACAGTAGGTCCACTGGGAAACTTGGTTACCTATGTTCCAAAATAACACGGAAGGGGATCAGCTTCACGCATGTTTAATTGCCAATGAATAGTAAGTGCTAGAGCACGAATAGCAATTAAATTACACTTCAGAGGCAATCTGAACCAGTTCACTGGTGGAAAGGGGGGGAAGAGGGGAGACAGCGAGCATTGTTGAGAACCATGATTTGTTACAGAGCGCTTTGACACAAATAAAATTATTTACCTACAATTAAAGACACTGCCTAATGCGAATTGACAGCGCCACTTCGTGTTGGTGTCAGGCCAATGGAGTTTTCGTTAGCACAAAACTGTTTTATGCGGGGATCACGGCTTTGCTGACGGCTTTGCTGACGTGTTTTCTTCACGGATATGACGTTGTAAAACGTGAAGCAGCGGATTTTAAAGAAAATCAGAAAGAAAAATTGGCGCAGCGGTGTGTCGAACCAGTGGCATCGCACTCGTCATCGCGTGGGGCCAAAAGCTACGCCATAAAGGGAACCTCCAGCAAGCAACTTTTATACACCATGTACTGCTAGCAGTGCTTAGAGCTCAGCGATATGGCACGACGGGTGTGCGTTGGACGCACCAAGGTCGTCGTGCCACGCCACACCGTGCGTTGCTATGCGCGTGTGTCTTTACAAGGTGAGGGCTTAGCACGTATAGATGATTTGTAGCGTTGTGGCTCAATCACGCCCGCGCTTATCCCGAGATTCGGGTGCTTCGCACCTGATATGCTTCCACCGCAAGTTTGCTTTGACGTTACATTAGTTAAAGAAAGCACGCACGTTAATTTGCTCACTTTACGACTGCATTTGTGAAAAGAGCACGCTGCTTCCACACGACAAATTAAAAATTGTGAAAGTTGTTCGTGCTCGTCCTGTGCATACCGGTGTAATTATTTTGTGTGCCTTTCTTTGTTGGAACAGCGCGCTTTAAGTGTCAAGCTGTGGCAGTTTTCGTTCACGTTTGTTCTGTGTAGGCTCATTTCATGCGTGCTTTCAGCGCGCTTTCAGCTTATTATGTGCGCTGCAAGTTTCGAGCTGCTTGCCGCTCTTCGCGTAACATTGCTATTTGTTGCTTTAGCATTAATTACTTCGCGCTTGTGGCGAAACAATGCACAATAAACATTCAACTGCACTTGCGAGGACTCGCGTCACTTTCGTGCTTACCGATACCTAAAGACGGTGATCAACCGAACAAACCGCACCACCATGGCCGACTCGGAAACACTTGCCACTCTTCGTCAGCAAGTGCAACAACTCGAACCGCAACTGCAGGTATAGCAGCAGGTGCTTCAGCAGCAGCGCATGTCCTCTGAAGCCCGTTTGTCCGATGATTCCACGCCACCTTGCTCGGGCCACGCCTCCCAAACTTCGTTCCAGCAGCCGCTGTCAACGCAGCCGCTGCTACTACCACGGCCATCGCTGACCTGAACATCTGGCATGTAACTGGCGAACTTCCGCCATTTTATGTGGACTCGCGCGAGATATGTTTCGCCTACGTCGAGGCCTAGTTCTCCCTGGTGTGCATCACACAAGAGCACACCTGTTACGATTACGTGATCACGCTACTGTACGCGAGCTTCGACAACGAATTTGAGATATCCTTGCTCACGCGCCATCGGCCACCCTATACGAACATCTCGAGACTGAACTCATTCACCTGTTTATGTCAGAAAAGTGGAAGCTATGAAAACTTCAGTCCACAAAGCTTGTTGAGTGAAAACATTTCGCAGTTTTGCTGACACGTGCGTGCTTTCTTAAATAGCTTGGAAGTCTACGATCACCGCCGGCTATGATTTTGACTCCAATGGCTTCCACCGCACTTGCAGGCAAATCTGCAGACACAGCTTACTAGGTTACCTGTTGAGGACCTTGATAAGGTCACTCATAGAATTATGATAATCTCTTTGGCCCAGTCGTCTCCCACCATCCAGGCTACAAGTGCACTGCTGAAGGCTACAGAGCTTGCACACCATACAGGCTATATGGATGGGTAACCCGGCCTCAATCATCAACGCTTCAATGAATGCCTTCCAACGTGCCAATAATACGAATTGCAGAGCCATGACCGCAACTGCACCTTTTCGCTGCAGCCTGCTTAGAACTACAGGTGCTTCACAATCGAGGTTTTGGTGATAGAGCCCCGCAATGTCGACCACTATGATCTGCGAACGAGAAATGCCAATGGAAGCTCACAGAGACAGCCACAAGCTGCAAACCTGGAAGCCATCGCAATTTCGTTGCCACCAAATCCTAAAGCAATGGTTTCTTGTCGACACCTTTTCCAACATCTGCTGCTACCTAAAGGCCCGTCATTAAGGTTCTCATTACCTACGTCTGTCGAGCTGAGGATGGTGAAGCGGTCCAAAATGAAAATGTAAGGCTCGCTCCGGCTGCACATCACGCTGAAAACCTTAAGTCCTGATCATATCTGGAATTTCGTCATTGCGGACGTACCGAGTTAGTCATCAGCGATGACTTTTTTGCTCATTATAATCTCCGCCCTTCCAGGTCACCGAACAACCACTCATCCGCCAAGCATCAGTGTGTTCAGTGTTGAAGGTCGTTCGCCATCTTCCTGCAGTGTGGTGTAAGACGTTAAAGCCAGAACTCATTGACGAGCTTCGTCACAAGGACTCTCTTCTCTCTGACCCCCGCCGACGTCCACTATGGTGAGGAGTTTGATAAGAAATTCTTGGCACTCTGTATTACGAAGACAAATAAAATAACTGCTATAGATTACCGTGAGAAGACCGGGAAGTCCAACAGCAGGCATTGTTCTACGATGAACGCGCGTGGCTCGGTTGGTTCAAACTCCATTAAAGACAACGAGCCAAGGTATGCAAGAGTGGGTGTCAGATCTAACAAATGCATCGAAGCTGCCTGCTCGGACAACAGCTTCCAAAACTCCGCTAAGCACAGTAGGCAAGGAGCACCGTCCTTGCGAGTCGCTTTGCCGAAACTTCAATTTCATCTATTTAGTGGCGAGAAACGTGAGTGGCAGGGGTTCTTGAAGCACTATGAGGCGACCATCCCCATCTATCCTGATCTCATCGGTAACGAGAAGTTCGCGTTCTTGGCAACATACTGCATCTGCGCTGTAAAGTGGGTCATTGAAGCACCATGCTTCACACAAGCGACTATAACATCGCCGTGAAAGGCCAACTCAGGCGAATATTTGAGAAGAATGAATTTTAATGACATTCGCTGGCTACGTTTCTTTTGTGTATTTCTGTATTTTGTGATAATATACAGGCTTGAAAGATGCGCTGATTTTTGGAAAATTAATTTCAAAGATTGCCTTGAAACGCTCATCTGTCTTGCAAGCATTATTGACAACACTGTCTATGTGATCTCACATGTGGGCAGTCAGCGGACGTGACTCAGCCGATGAAATCGCTAACTTTGGCCGCTACAGCACGTACTGTACTTGGCTACAAGGCAACGACGGCAATTCTTGGCACGCAAAAGCTTCCTTCGTTCCTCCGTGGTGTTTGGCACGTGATTTCATGTTTTCTTGAGGATAGTTGTGTGATGGGTGGTAGTTGGTGTTGCGTTGTGGACTGCACTGACTACTAGCACAGGACGTAGAGAGCTTGCAGTCACGGCTTTTAAAGTAACAGTTCTTTTCGTTAGAAGTGGATCACAACTGGTTACCTAACAAAGCGGTAGGCGTCCGTTTCGATCATTTCTTGCCGGAGTCATATACGTCTGAGTAAACGCTGCCCGGCTACTTTGAGACACTGTATACCCCAGAGATGTCTGCTGATTCTCTGCGCTCTCACCTCTTCTCTCAGTGCCGCCTCGCCCTGGCTTTCACAGTTTTTATACTCTATACCTCCGAGACCAGTATGCCTTAATTGCACACTTTTTGCTTCTTCCCCAACTTGTACTGTACAATGGTGGACAAGTATACGTTGATTGTGTGACTTCTGGTTCTTACCATTTAGTACGTCATATGTAGACAGTGTACTCGGTTGGGTTGTGCTTTAGGTATTGTGCTTTTTTGCTCATTAAGCATTGTTTTCAAATTTGCTGAGATTTCACCAAAAGTATCTCAGTGACAAAAGTATCTCAGAACTAAAAAGCACAATTACTCTGGTAAGGTCAAAAACTCACCGGAGTTTCTTTTTATGTGTTCACTGAAAGAGTTCGCTGAAAGGAACGTTTCAAGGGTGAATTTAAAGACAGCCTGCTTGTCAACAAAGCGTCCATGTGATCGTCGCAACTATCATGGTTACAGGAGGAGTACAAGAGTGTCTAGTTCAAGATCGGTTGTTTGGAGGGCCTTGGCATACCGCCAGCAGAGGACGCAGTTCTTCCGCACCGAGAATTTTTGCGCACCAGAGGACCTAGTGACCTGGCGGCGAATACTCCCAAACAAAAATCGACACAGATGCTGTGTATTCTGAGCTTACCTTGACAGAGCTACTGAAAATACAATCCCGAAGTTAACTCAGTAGACATCCGGCAGAAAAGCCGACTGTCACACGCTGAAACTACTTGAGAGAGGTCATCTGAAAACTACAAGGTAGCGGACATATTGATGCAGCATCATCTACCGTGCGTCTTAATAACGACACATCTGTCATTACCGCCAGGTGCTCATTCAAAAAATGAGCACGCAATGTGTTCTCTCTGAGCCCCCTAAGACAGGCATAGCGTGATTGCTGAGCCATGCCATCAGAGAAGGAAGGACGCCAACGTCTACGAGGACAGAACGTCTATAAATATGAGCCTCTTCCACCTGACTTCCAGAACTTCTGGGAAAAGATACAATTAACAGTTGCCACTCTGTCTGACTTCGATACTACAAGTGTGTCTTTTCTTGACGTCTCATACGTGTCATGATAATTGAGGTGTGAGAGCGTCACCGCCTTTGTGCAACCAGGCGAGGATATCGGAGAAGCAAGAGCGCTGAGAGGATCGGACCTCCTAATCGACGAGTGCGTCCAGGGGTACCTGAAAGATGTCGTGAATATTGGCTTGGTTTTGCCATGCATGACTCATGAATGGGTGTATTGTGAAAGCAGCATTTCTCACTCTGCAAACAAAGGAAGAATGAAAGCTTGCGTTTTGTGCACTGACATCGCTGCGAGTCATCACCTTCGTCCCGGCTGCGTGTAGGTAACTGATCAATGTTATGACGACAGCCTGTCAGCACTGCGATGAGATTTCGGCAGAGGGGTCGAGTCGTTTCGAGGAGGGACGGATTAAAAAGGTATCTTGAACTCTCCTACCCAAATGGTCCTCATGACTGGTACATGGCGAATAGGTTGTACCTATTAGAAGCAAGCAACTATGTTGCGGCCTCAGGAGGACATTGAATCTACCGCGGTAAAACGTTGGCAGGAAACGCCATGCTGCTCTTAAAACGCGCGCAGAAGATGGCATAAGGCGGAGCAACTCGTTAGCATGCCATACAAGAAAATTAAAGTGTTCCTGTGTCAAAACTCATCAAAAAAGGTGCACAGCACGTTCAATGCTTCATCGGCGAAGTTTTCCGCGACCTCAGCGACTTCCTCTACCTATACAATATTGTGTTATGTTGGCGCAACGCCGCATAACACCACATGAACTTACGTCACCTCATTCAATACCTCCACGAGCAACACCTACACGTGAACATCCAAAAGAGCACGCTCAGTGCATCTACCGCCCAGTTTCTCGGCCAGAAGGTTCATCGGAGCGAACTCAACTGTTACATCAACACATTTAAGACTTGAAAAATAACCCTAAACTAATTACCACTGAAAAAATTTGGCATTTCTTTGGCATGCTGAACTTTTACTGATGTTTTTTGACGCACGCTGCTGACTACCAGGCTCGCCTTCACAATATGTTGAATGGTCTAAGAGGAAACCAACCCGTCACGTGGACGGGTTGCTTTTTTTTGCTAGAAAAGTTCAGCTCAGTAAACGAGATCTTGATTGACGGATTCCTCTGATGAATAAATGGAGCCTGATCTAAAGAGTTTGCAGTTACTACCGAAAGCGTCTGGCAATATAAAAAGAAGAACAATACTTTTGTCACATTTCGCAAGTTCAACACAGCAATCCCCATACCAACCTCAAACTTGTAACCTAGGCCTTCTCTTTGCCGGGACAAAGTTTTTCCAATCGAGCAGAACAAGCTCTTGT